CCATACTGCCAAATGTAATATTCTGCTTTGGAATAAAAGTTATTTTGACAAAAGTGGTCCTGACTGAATTTAGATTAAGTGATTGGCCTAAGTTCAATTAAAAAATTAAAGATTTGGAAATTTTTCAGCAGGTACAATGACATATGGTGAACATTAATGTTAAATTTTAGTTGAAACTGTGTTAGAAAGAGGTGTTTCTGTTATTTAGTCCACCCTCATCGCTGTAAACAAAATAAAAACGACCTGCGTTGTATCAGACTGCGTTAGATTGGTTCCCATCCTGGAGATAATTAACAGGACAGGAAATCAAGACAAAAGACATGTTGCAACATGCAATGTGTTTCCTGTAGCGTGCACAGACTTAGTCTAATTTATTTGTTGTGCCAGTAAAACAAACTGAGCAGTTTTACAATCCTTTTTGATGGGTTGTGTTTTTCCCCTCGAGGCACCTGGAAGTGAAACTGAGTATTCAGCTCCGCCCTCCTGCCCTCACTCCTCCGCTTCCTGTTCTTTACTCCTCCGAACAGATCAGACCGTACAGGAGTTACTTCACCTACATCTGTGTGAACAGAAAAATCTATTCAGGAAAAACCACAGAATCAGTAAAACAACAGCAGGCGGTAGAACAGACGACCGACTGTAAGTACAAACACACAGTGTGATCTGAATCTGCTGTTCAAACTGCACTCACTGCACTCACTGCATGTACGGTTGTGTTTTATACTTCATTTTTCATACATTTTATGTCCTTATAACTTGCATTTTGTCACATTTTCCATGACTGGAGCTTGTTGTAGGAGCTGGTTGAGATTTTAATGTCATTGCTGGCATGTGAGAACTTGTTCAGGTTGTAACGTTCCCAAACTGGAAAAGCTGCACATGTGAAAAACAGTAACGCCCATTTTATATACATATACACATACACACATAGAGTTTGTATGGAGACCTGAGTGTGCCAGCAGAATAAATGTACCAATTATCCTATTAAATTAAAATGCTTTAATGAAATTAAGAGTTTTAATAATCCATTATAGATGAAATGTAATTACATTTGCATTCAGATGATGCATTAAAAACAGAAATCAAATATATAACTGAAATTTACACTTTTTTTCTGTCTTTAAAAAAGAAATTAATTTATTTCATTGAAAGCGACTTACTGGTGAACATAGTGGAGCCAGATATTTCCCTTTATAGTCGTTAGACATTAAAAACAGAGCTAAAGGTGAGTGAATAATTATTTGATTTAAATTTAGTATTCTTGTTCTGCTGCCCCCAAGTGGCCAAAAATATCAGTTATTAGAGGTTTATGGTTGAATGCAAATTAAATTAATAGGTTTATTAAATTGTAAAAGCTTGTAAATATCTAACATAACATCAAAATGACTGTTTAGTATTCAGGTTGCCTAATATTTTACATAATGGAAATCAGATGAGGGAGTTTTAAAAGCTCTTCTGTTTTTCATATGCAGGCAGAAAAGTGAGAGCTTCAGCATTAATGGGAATTTACCTTCGATTTGTGGATCTTAAACTGCCTCCAACAACCAAACACTCAACTTTTATCAAGAAAAAGACTTCAGTGTCAGTTTCAGGGGGATTTTCTGTGGAAGAAAAACTCCAAAATGGACTACAGAGCGTTCGGCACTTCAGCTGATCCAAAAGACAAACTCATTGCAAGTTTGATATCTTTCATAAAACTCCACAGTCAACATAGAAATCTCCTTCAGACCATTTCAGAGAGCTTCACGGCTGCTCAACTTCATGAAATGGTTTCTGGGAGTCTGGCTCTCACCAGTCTGTGCTCCTTCTTAGGAGGACTTATTGGTGCAATTGGTGGAGGTGTTTCTGGTGGAGGATTCGGGGCATTTGGGGCGATTGGCGCAGTAACTTTCGGTGGAACTGTCTGCGCTGTCGACAGCGTATTAGGTGGTATGGCTGGGGGAGCGCTCGGCGGCGCTGTCGGCAGCAGTTTGGGAGTTATCCCATTTGATGCCGTCGTCAGCAACGTAGCTTCATTCGCCATTGGCTTTGCAGCTGGTAGTGCAATTGGTGGTATTTTTGGAGGGGCGGTTGGAGCAGCAGGTGGTGCGTTTGGTGGTGCTTTTGGTGCGTTGGGCACTACGAAGGTTGTTGTGAAGTTAATGAGAGAACTGGTGCGTGAAGTCACAGATTCAGACAGTAACAATATTAAGGTGAATGTGACTCAGAAAACTAGATATTTCAGTGAAGCCATCAAACCGCTGGTGAAAGAGCTGAAGACAATCAAAGCTCTTTGTGACAAAATGGCCGCCAGTCAAATCACATACACACTGTATTCTGTTGCCATGATGGAGGAAACTCTCAGGGTCTCTCAGAGCGCCGCAGATCTGCCAGTTTCCAGTGTTGAAAAAGCGGCAAGACTAAGCAAGATCATCACAAAGGAACTTGAGACGACGAGAACAGAAGTGGAAGAACTTCTGGTTTTATTGAGGAAACCCTGAAACAACATCAGTAAACCAAGAACTGGACTCAGAATACCTTTTTAAAACTTAATAACTCATTAAAAACAAGTCTTCTAAGGTAACTTGGGTAAATTAAGTTGTTGTATAATTGTACTAATTCCTTTCAGTTACCGTAAAACTTCTAATAAAAG